CTTATTTTATGGATTTCTTAGTGTATTATCAAGGGTAATTTTTATAAGGATATATTTCCTTTCGTATATTTATGCATTTCTATATTTCTTTTAATTATCTATTACTGCACCTTAAGCACCTGCACATGCCGTGGATGAATTCGTATAATTTCCCCCAAAAGCTCACCAACTCTGGTGATGCATCACCGATTAGGGGTCCTGATATTACTATTATCATTATTTCCCTGGGACCACCAACCACTATTTGTGGTATTCAAGCGTTTTTCTATACGCTTGGATGGCTGTGCATAATTATACCTCAGCTATCTTTTTTATCGTCCTTGGAAAAGAAACGGTGTCTCTATATGCAGATAATTCTGTTCCATTTAAACAGTAGCGGGAAACTCTGTACATGAGTAATGATTTCCGTCTTTGGAACGGCTGTTTATTTTATTGCACATAACTATGTGTGTATTATTATTATTGTTTTTTTACACTTTATATAAATACTTAATTGGAGACCTTGGCACTCGGAGCGCTTCTTTATGCCGTGGGTATATATTATTATTATTTCCCTTATTAATCATCGCTTAGATGCTAAATCATTCGGGAGGAGGGTTTAGGCTATTATACTCAAGTGTAAATTTGAGTTGTTACCTCATCCACCTCCCCTGGGATCATGAGCCATTCTCTCTGGCTCAAATGCGCTTTAATGTGCTCTGTCAGCAATGAGTGTTATGCCTCAGGCTGACAGTTCTGTGTATCCAAGGCAAAATGGCGTTTTTTCCGTGCGCGCATGCGCAGTTGCCTGGTCTTCCCAAAAATGGCGGCGAGTTAGTGCGCATGTGCGACTCCCCGTTCTCCATTATTTAAACACCCGGCGTCTGTCACAGAGCTGTCAGTGTCTCCTCTGATGATGTGCCTTAGCACGAAAGGCCTCAGGAGGAACTGACAGCCTGTGACGCCTCATTGCCGCTCAGACCACCAGGAGGTCTGGTGGCCAGCTATATTTAGGTCAGTGGTACGTTTTGTCTTTATACTGTGTTTCCATGAATTCTCTTCAGTACCAGAGATATTTATAGGAAGGAAACGTGATGCAGCGTCACAACACACCTGTTATAACCTTTCCAACAGGACAATGTACATACCTCCAAGTCCACTAGAGCATTTGCCAGCACTATTACTGACCTGCTCTACTATATTGCTTTTACCAATAAGATACTTAATATACTACACTATGGGTACTCATTGAGGGGTCAGCAGACACAGCTACATACTACTTCCAGAGGGGAGGGAAGCCTTTACCTGGAGGGAACCTTCTGTCTGGCTGACTCATCTTCATCCTAAGGAGGCCCTGTAAGTCCAGCAGATCGGTTGATGACACCTCTCAAGAGAATGGTCCCTGGGGGATAACGACATCTGTAGGATTTTGATATACACATGCGCATTTCCTATGTGCGGTCGGTGAGTGCGCATTTCTGCCATTTTCCCGGATCACTCTAAGTTGTGTCCACCACATTTATGGACCGATTGCATTTTTTGATATTTTTATTGATCGAACTTTTTATATCGAATTTTATAGCGAACTTTTTATTCTGTTTTTTTCTAGCGCTGCACTTTATTTTATTGCATATTTCTGCATTACTGGCACATCTAGTATGGCACTCAATGTTACTAAATCAGGGAAATCTAGAAATAGCTTTTCACATTTAGCTATGTAATAAGCAGTGGGGTTGAAATAATTTTGGTCAATGTTAAACGTGTGTAATGTGCTGAAACATTGCTGTGTCCATTTTTCTGATACAAATAGCTAAAGGTCTTTCTTCAGGGTTGTCTCTAGCCTTTCCCTTATCAATATTCTCTTTGTGTTTATTACATTTGTCATGCCATACAAACGTTTCCATTTTAAATGGAGCTTTTACGGCATTTGCCCATTTTTCATCTGAAATTTGGGGAAACCGACTGCAAACTTTACATATAACTATATAATTTTTCTTGGAGTAAGCAAGCCAGGAAAACTGATCCAGCCAATGTGTACTACTAACAAGCGGTCTTTCCAGCATCACCATCATTTGTCTTTTTAGTTATGGAAGTGGAAGTTTGTGGCAAAATACAACAATTAGCTATTGATTCTCTTTTTCTATAGGGTTTGACTGGGACTCCACAATAGTAGGATGATCTTTTTCTGTAAAAAAAAAAAATCTTAAATTTGCTCTGTTTCATGTTGAGGAGACCAAAAAAAAAAACAAAAAAATAAGGAAAAACTCAGAAGCATGAGATATGGGTTGAATACTGGAAATTAGGACCACTTTTTGTATTATGTCTGGGCTGCCACAGATGACTCAGGCTGAGGAAGATCCTCCATGACGTGATCATGCTAGTTGCACTGTCAAGGTGGGTCTTGGCTGCCTATAGGCCTTTCTGCTGGCTAAGCCTATTAAACGCTGGTCTGCTTGCTGGCTTGATTGATGGCTGGTCTGAGTGATGGCCTGATTAAAGTCTGGTCTGCTGGCTGGTCTGATAGCTAGCCTGATTAAAGGCTGGTCTGCTGGCTGGTCTGATTGATGGCCTGCTTAAAATGCTGATCTACTTGAAGGCAGATTAACGGCAGGTCATCTGAGCGGCAGATCAGCTCAACAAGGCAGGTGAGCTCAAACAAGGCAGGTCAGCTCATCGTCAGTTCAGTACAATGGCAGGTCAGATTAAGCAAAGGCAGTTCAGCTCAACGGCAGTTCAGATTAAATAAGGCGGGTCAGCTCAAACAAGGCGGGTCAGCTCAAACAAGGCGGGTCAGCTCAAACAAGGCGGGTCAGCTCAAACAAGGCGGGTCAGCTCAAACAAGGCGGGTCAGCTCAAACAAGGCGGGTCAGCTCAAACAAGGCGGGTCAGCTCAAACAAGGCGGGTCAGCTCAAACAAGGCGGGTCAGCTCAAACAAGGCAGGTCAGCTCAAACAAGGTAGGTCAGCTCAAACAAGGCAGGTCAGCTCAAACAAGGCAGGTGTCAGGAATGGACTCACCACTGGTGGTGGGACTCACCTGCCGTCTGGGCTGCAGTACCAGGGCTGGCCAGCGGGTGCTCAGCAGCCAGAAGCTCGCTCCTGCAATCAAGTCATCACCTGAGACTGATTGCAGGAGGTGTATTTAAGGAGTAGCCAGGCCTGCAGTCAGGGCCTTGGTGTATAGTTTCCCTTGGCCCCTATAGCCTGATCCTGCCTGCTTGAATCCTGACTCTGCACGAACTCTGCCTGTACCGACCTCGGCTATTCCTGACTACTCTTCCGCCTGCTCCTTGTACCTTGCCTGCCCGTTTTCTACCGACCCGGCCTGCCCGACTACGTTTAGTATTGTTCTTATTGTTATCTGTTGGAGGTTTGGTTTGCTTGCACTGTGTTTATGTTTAGTCTTGCACTGCATTTATGTATTGTTTAGTCTTTAATAAATTGTATTGTTTATACTATACCTGAAGCCTGCGTTTCCCTGTGTCAGTCTACACATCTATGGTCATACCTGGAGCCCTGACATTACACCAAGGCCATTCCTGACCAGAAGTGGCTGCACAGGGAAGCCATCTTGGCTTGTTGTTGTGAAGGATGCATCCGGAGGTGGTTATATACTTGTGTCTGCTAGATGACAGAGAATATGCCTATCAGACTCTGCAGGAGTATACCAGAGATCCGCTGCTAGAGTGCATACGGGTCGCTGATTCCCTAGTAGATCAGGGCACGGAGTTCTCCGAGGTGCAACCATTGATTCATGCTTGTGTTGAGTTGGCTTCATCTAATACCCCTGAAAGCAGGAATGACTTTCTTCCACCATTCAGTGTGGATCAAATAGAATCACTGGTATGGTTGTTGGAGGATGATCCGGATTGCTTCTGGGAACATTATTCAGCATGTTCACCACATGTGCTAGTGGAGTGTATAAATGCAGTGCAGTCTTTGGTCAGACAGGCTATGTGTAAGCCGAGTTTTGTTCAACCAATACTACAGTCCTGGTCAGACTTGTTACACCCAGCCTCAGTCAGCTTGCAACAAACCAGTCCTGCTTCTAATTATTCCTCTGTTCAAAGCTCTCTTCCTCCATTTCCCACTGCACCCCCAGTTACAGCCCAATATACCCTGTTATCTACCATGTCAGTACCCTGTTTCCACTCACTGCACCTATCCTGCCTTTAACCCTGTAAAAAAGGCCACTGTAGCAACTATTCCCTCCTCTGTTCCATCCTCCAACTCTTCTCTTTCTCCAGCTACTCCATCCATTTACAGACCTGCATTTACTTGCAGTGCCCCAGTAACTAAACCCCAGAAGAAGCAAAAATTCTTTCAAACCAGTACCATCCTACCAGTATCCAAACCAGTCAGCCTGCTGTCTGAGAACCCGCCTTCCGTTGTTCAGCCTGATTGTCAGGGCAGGGCTGTGGAACGGACAGGTAGGCCTAGTGGCAGGGTAACGCACTGGCTGACGACAACCACCACCAACAGACCGAAGTCCCTCAGGGCGCAGAGTCTAAGTCCCAGGCTGCCCTTCACCAGGGCCCCTGATGGTGGGGATGGACTTGACGCAGCCAGGAACCAGGTCACGGCCCCCGAGACACCCCGGCTGCAGTAATGGCCGCCGCCAATGGCGTGTAGCTGGTGAGAATGACAATAGCGTAGTCAGGCAAGCCGGGTCGACAACAACGGGACAAAACGGTACAGAACAGTAGACAGAGAATCACAGGTCACGGGCCGGGTTCAGCAACAGAAGGTCAGATCGAAGGAAAACACAGAGAATGGTCTTAGTCACAAGCCGAGTCAGATACCAGAAGAGTCACGAGCATATACACAGAGCTGTAGCAAGACAAAGACACAAGTGCAAAGAGCATGTGCGGATCACAGGCTTATATGTACTCAGCCACACCCCTTTGGGGGATGGACCTCAGAGACCTGAAGGCATAAAAGATTCCCACCATGCTCAGCAGAAATCCAAGATGGATGCCAGCACATGGAGTAATATAACCTCTGGGAAAAGGTAGGACCTTGACACTGATGCCCTGATGCCTGATGACCCAGTGTGCACTACCCGGCCTTATGACCCTACCCGGCCTGATGACCCTACCCGGCCTGATGACCCTACCCAGCCTAATGACCCTACCCAGCCTAATGACCTGGTGCCCGCTACCCAGCCTGATGACCCGCTGTCGTACCAGATGACTCTGTGCCCGTTGTCGTACCAGATGACTCGGTGCCCGCTGTCGTACCAGATGACTCGGTGCCCGCTGTCGTACCAGATGACTCGGTGCCCGCTGTCGTACCAGATGACTCGGTGCCCGCTGTCGTACCAGGTGACTCGGTGCCCGCTGTCGAGCTTGGTGACCTGGTGCCCGCTGTCGTGCCAGGTGACTCGGTGCCCGCTGTTCTGCCAGGTGACTCGGTGCCCGCTGTCCTGCCAGGTGACTCGGTGCCCGCTGTCCTGCCAGGTGACTCGGTGCCCGCTGTCGAGCTTGGTGACTCGGTGCCCGCTGTCGAGCTTGGTGACTCGGTGCCCGCTGTCGAGCTTGGTGACTCGGTGCCCGCTGTCGTGCCAGATGACTCGGTGCCCGCTGTCGAGCTTGGTGGCTCGGAGCCCGCTGTTGAGCCAGATGACTCGGTGCCCGCTGCCCAGCCTGATGTGCCAGCGTCCGCTGCCCAGCCTGATGTGCCAGGCCCTGATATCCAGCCAGTTACCTGACCGGGCGGTGGAACATTTTGCCCACTAAGGACTGTTTGGAGCATTCTGAGGCCGCTCCTTGAGGGGGGTACTGTTAGGAATGGACTCACCACTGGTAGTGGGACTCACCTGACGTCTAGGCTGCAGTACCAGGGCTGGCCAGCGGGTGCTCTCAGCAGCCAGAAGCTCACTCCTGCAATCAAGTCATCACCTGAGGCTGATTGCAGGAGGTGTATTTAAAGAGTAGCCAGGCCTGCAGTCATAGTTTATAGTGTATAGTTTCCCTTGGCCCCTATAGCCTGATCCTGCCTGCTTGAATCCTGACTCTGCATGAACTCTGCCTGTACCGACCTCGGCTATTCCTGACTACTCTTCCACCTGCTCCTTGTACCTTGCCTGCCCGTTTGCTACCGACCCGGCCTGCCCGACTACGTTTAGTATTGTTCTTATTGTTATCTGTTGGAGGTTTGGTTTGTTTGCAGTGTTTATGTATAGTCTTGCACTGCGTTTATGTATTGTTTAGTCTTTAATAAATTGTATTGTTTATACTATACCTGAAGCCTGCATTTCCCTGTGTCAGTCCACACATCTCTGGTCATACCTGGAGCCCTGACAGCAGGTCAGCTGAACGGCAGGTCAGATTAAACAAGGCAGTTCAGCTCAACGGCAGTTGCTCAGCTCAACGGCAGTTGCTCAGCTCAACGGCAGTTGCTCAGCTCAACGGCAGTTGCTCAGCTCAACAGCAGTTCAGATTGAAGGTTGGCCTGATTGAAGGCTGGTCTGCTTGAAGGCTGGTCTGGTGACTGGGTGTGTCTGCTGGCTGGGCTGCCTTTCAGGAGCAGGGCGGTGGGTCTGTCCATGCATTACAATTGTGAGGGACCAATGGCGACCCTAGGAAACTAAACAGGGTGCATATAAGATACCACAGTCAAAACTGGGAGGACACTGATACTTTTCACCACTACCATATGAGGATGTGTTCCTAGGCATAGTCAGCTACCAGTTTTATTTTAAATTAAATTTGTAGCTGATTTTGCATAGGTGTGCTGTGCTTTTTTTTTTTTTTTTTTTTTTTATACTTTTTGAAATATTTAGGCTTCAGAGCAGCACTAAAATTGCGTTTTTTTTTTTTTTTTTTTTTTTTTTAACGACGTTTTTTTTTTTTTTTTTTTACTCTTTTCCAAATCATTTTGCCCCCAGAGCACAGCACAAAAAAATGTAATTTACCTTAAGCTGGCGGGGTGTAGTGATGTGCACCATTGGCAGGTCTCTCCTTCATGTGTCCCCCACACCGGTGTAGAGTGGGCCTCTCCTCGTGTCCCCCAAGGCAGGGGGAGAGCGGGCCTCGTGTCCCCCAAGGCAGGGGGGAGAGCGGGCCTCGGTCCCCCAAGGCAGGGGGAGAGCGGGCCTCGTGTCCCCCAAGGCAGGGGGGAGAGCGGGCCTCTCCTCGTGTCCCCCAAGGCAGGGGGAGAGCGGGCCTCTCCTCGTGTCCCCCAAGGCGGTGGAGAGCGGGCCTCTCCTCGTGTCCCCCAAGGCGGTGGAGAGCGGGCCTCTCCCTCAAGGCGGTGTCTCCCGTGTCCCCCAAGGCGGTGGAGAGCGGGCCTCTCCTCGTGTCCCCCAAGGCGGTGGAGAGAGGGCCTCTCCTCGTGTCCCCCAAGGCGGTGGAGAGCGGGCCTCTCCTCGTGTCCCCCAAGGCGGTGGAGAGCGGGCCTCTCCTCGTGTCCCCCAAGGCGGTGGAGAGCGGGCTCTCTCCCGTGTCCCCCAAGGCGGTGGAGAGCGGGCCTCTCCCCGTGTCCCCCAAGGCGGTGGAGAGCGAGCCTCTCCCCGTGTCCCCCAAGGCGGTGGAGAGCGGGCCTTCCTCATGTCCCCTGTGGTGGGGGAGAGTAGACCTCTCCTCGTGTCCCCCAAGGCGGTGGAGAGCGGGCCTCTCCTCGTGTCCCCCAAGGCGGTGGAGAGCGGGCCTCTCCTCGTGTCCCCCAAGGCGGTGGAGAGCGGGCCTCTCCTCGTGTCCCCCAAGGCGGTGGAGAGCGGGCCTCTCCTCGTGTCCCCCAAGGCAAGGCGGTGGAGAGCGGGCCTCTCCTCGTGTCCCCCAAGGCGGTGGAGAGCGGGCCTCTCCTCGTGTCCCCCAAGGCGGTGGAGAGCGGGCCTCTCCTCGTGTCCCCCAAGGCGGTGGAGAGCGGGCCTCTCCCGTGTCCCCCAAGGCGGTGGAGAGCGGGCCTCTCCCCGTGTCCCCCAAGGCGGTGGAGAGCGAGCCTCTCCCCGTGTCCCCCAAGGCGGTGGAGAGCGGGCCTTCCTCATGTCCCCTGTGGTGGGGGAGAGTAGACCTCTCCTCGAGTCCCCCGCGGCGGTGGAGAGAGGGTGACTCCTCTCAGAAGAGGAAAGCGGACCTCTCCTGCACCTGTCCCCTCAGCGGCGCCGCCAGTGTAATGGCAGTGCCGAAGAAGAAGTCAGAAACCGGAAGTTGGAAACCAGAACTCTGCTTCACAATGAGGCTTGGAGCACAGATGGAGCCGCTCTATCTGTGCCCGCCACACAAGGATTTCCCCTCGCATTTGGCGAGCGGCTTTTTCAAGCCCTGGGTTAGACCATTGTTGTATTAAAGTACATTATATTATGTTTGGAGTGATTGGGAGTTTTTTTTTTTTGCAGCAAATGATGTACAGTATATGTTTGTATATGCACAAAAAAAGTCTTTGAAAATCCAGCAAAATTACAGGAGAAAATAGATATTTTACTACAGATAATGGGGTTACTTTACTAAAGGCACATAGACTGTGCACTTTGCAAGTACAGTTGCTCCAGAACTTAGCAAATGAGTGGAAGCTCTGCTGACTTCCATCATCAAATCATGTGCAAGCAAAAATGCTTTTTTTTCTTCTTTTTTTCTGTGATTGGGTATTCTTTGTAAAGAAAAGTTTTACCTAATTTCCTAAGCGCTGCAACAACTTGCAAAGTGCACAGTTTGTTTGCCTTTAGTAAATCAACCCCAGTGTTTGCATTTTTCCATATTTAGGTTTCTATGCATTACTGTTGAAAGACTAGACTAAGCCAAAGTGGCTGTTATCTTTACATTCTTTAACCACAATGTTCATTCCAATGTACTGCGGATGGGCAGCAACTACAGGCAGAGCAACGTACTGGTACATCACTCTAGCTGTACTACACAGGGGGGCGTTCCGGACACAGTAAACGGGACCTGGAGTTCAGGTGATCGCTATGATTCATAACCGCTTTGCTGACATTGTGATTGCAATCTGATTGATAACAGCTTTGCTTCCCTTCCTAGTCAGCTGTGATTAGCCGACAGCTCTCAAAAAGGTACATGGGCCAATCACAGCACCCTGTACCATGTAATCAGCTGTAACCAATCACAGATCACTAGTATTTTTTAATCTTTATTGCTCCTGCAAAGCAAACTGTAAAAAAAAACAAAACATGTAAAACCAATCCTAGTGGCTGGATAACTTTTACAAGCAGCAGGAAGGTACGTTTCTCCCCCTGCAAGCTCTGTAGCAGCTGAAAGCCAGCGGGAGGCAGAGGAGAAAAAGCCAGCTTTCAGCTGCTGCAGAGAGAGCCATACAGGGGATCGGTTCCAGTAATTACCCACCGCCATGCCGAGCACCCTCCCTACCCGCATCCAATTCACCCAACTGCCTGGGCTCCCCTGCTGACCTGGGCCCCGTACAAAAGGACTGGTGGTACCCCCTTTTCCACGGACCTGGCCTCAGTATATACAGAGCAAGCCAGCTGTTAATTTCTTCGTACACAGTGCTTTTAGTTTATTGGGGGCCAGACCGGATTTATGCTTTGATGTCTGCTTTTATTAATTTGCTACTTTTGAGTATAATGTTTTAATAAATGACTTTAAGCATGTATTTCAATATGTGTTATATAGTCAGAGAAGGATAGCTTGAGCTTGCTTTCACTGTATTGGGGAGGGGAGACAATATAGTCTGGAGCCCCGAGTAGCCATCCATGCTGATAGAGGAGGTTTCCCTGTGAGGCAGCTCAAGCTCGTATTCTTTTTCTTGAGAGAGAAAAAAAAAAAAAAAAGACAGTCTGGTGAGTGCGGATTTGATCTTTGTGGTGAAATGGATCACTATGGATTGCTCTGGGGTGGTGCAAAAAAGGACATTTATCACAGGGCCGAAAGTTTTTGTTTGTTGCAAGATGCATGGTATTTGCTTATAGAAGAGAGCAATAAAAACCCTGTAATTATATCTTTATTGATGTTTTCATTGACAGTGTTATTAGGATCACTATACATGTTTTTAATTCTGAGATGGATATATATATATATATATATATATATATATATATATATATATATATATATATATATATATATATATATATCTGCACTGTACTATGCGAGGCACTTTAATTTCTGTATAAAGTAAATGAAGTTTAAACATTTACTTTTTCATTGAGAAGGGTCAGAATCTTTGCCAGATTGTTGTTGCTGTTTGTTAACCATCGGGGAGATTTTCTCACACATTCTATGAACTCAACGAGACTGGATGCACACGCATAACCACTTCATTAAGAAGAGTAATAAAACATTCTTATAAAGTAGGATGTCCACGCTGGGGACAAAGATGAAAAACAAAAACAAAAGAAGAAGTTCTAAACCACTCTTAGGCCCCTTCACACGAATGTTCCACATGAAAAAAAAATGCAAAAAAACATGTGTTCACAATATTCTAAGTGTGAACCTAGTCCAATACTTCTGGTGGGAGGGTCATTTAAAGGATAACTGTACAAAGTACAAATATCTCCATAAGAGTAACCTAACTACAAACCAGTAATTCTTGAGAAATGTTCAATTTCTACTCATACTCCTAAAATAAGCAGTAAAGTCTCAAGTTACAAGGGATTTGCATATTAAAATATCAATGTTAGATTAAATTTCAAGAAAGTAGGATGAAATACGTTCCTGTATGGATAAGTATCTACAATGCAAATTACAGAATGTGAAAAAAAATGTGAATTTATACCTTCATTCAGTAA